CTGTGCAAAAACAAAGCAAAATGGCAAACGTATAGAAGCAAATCATTAAGCGTAAAAGCTAGTGAATAAAATTGAAGAATTATTGTCGATATCAAATTTGCAAAGCAATTGAAATCGAAAGTAATTGGTGCATGTACATAATGCTCATAGCTGAATTAGTAAGAAGATACATACATATATACACACATACAACATATCTGTACAGTTTTTTTTTTAGTCAAACGATGCCATTCTTCTTTGTAATTGCAACCGAATCGATATTTTAAAATTTTTTTTTTATGTCGGTTTGTCAGTCATCAATTGCTGTCGTCAAGCTCAACTAACGGTAGGCCCAGGAAACATGGTGTTTGGAGAGGGTTCCTTGCTGAGTAGGCTCGAGTGGGCATGTGAAAAGGTAGCTAGTGTCGCGCAGAGCAGAGGCGGTTGAGGAAGCTTCGAGATGTAGAAGTTAAACAATCGCGGGGATACTTAGGACATAACACTATGGTACCCCTTTGTTTACTTTTCCTTAGCTACAATTTTTAACTCGAAAGTTTACTGACGACTGCCGCCCACTGAGATAATTCGCCGACCACCCTTTGAGTTTCTGTGGTAGAGTGGAAACCTCAATGTCTTCTAGTAGCGTTCAATGAAAAGACTCGCCTTTGTTGTCGGATTTCCTCGACTTTAGTATTGGGACCATCCTCCCCGATTTCCATATATGTATGTATCTGGATTTATGAGGGTGGCCGATAACAGATTGATAACTTTGGTGAGATATGCTACTCCCGTCGGACCAAATTTTTTCAACATCAGCATTCATATTCCGTCGGCTCCAATGACTTTGGAGGCTTTTCATCCTCCCGATGGCGTACTGTTTTTTATTTTGCAGTTTATGCAGTCTTCTTGATCAGTAGAAACTTGGCCTTTTTCACCGAGGCATGCAGTGTAAATTACCGGCTAAAATAGCTCCGGTCCGACGAGGCGTGGCCTGGTTGTAATTCAACCAGTTATATATCCTTTGCAATAATTTGAACTACATGAATTGAAACCTCAAGCGCACACACGGGCACGTTAGTGCACTAAGTTTTATTAGTTGTTGATTTCAAAGTATATAATTTTTGGAACGTTTCTCTTTTTCAAAAGGCAGTTTTATCATCAACAATTTCTACAAAAGCAACGAAGTTAAAGTTTGAACTGCTCCCGTGTGGCATTAGGTAGTAGCAAAGTGGGCAACGTCCACAGGTGAAGCTTAAGAATTTATTATACTTTAAACTCTTCTGAACTAGCACAAGAAAGAAGTAGTATTAGAAAGTAAATATGTATGTAATTCGAATGAGGCAAACGATTGTAAGTAAATACACATTTCAATCGAAATCATAAAAAAAATATTGCTTACGAACATCTTTGGTTAAGCTGCACACTAGACCGTACCAGAAAAAATATATCGATGTTCTCAACTCGAGGAGACATTTTTGTTCCATAGTTTGTTCCAAAGCACCCCGTTCTAGTACTTAACCACCTAATGTCAGTAAGTTAAAGCTCGCCAGAGATCCTTAAACTTTCGCTTGTAAGGTGGTGCGGTTAGCGGGTCCGGTAAGAGCGAATTTTATACGCGCGAATGTATACAGTATTCCCCGCTTAATTGACCCCCGATTAATTGATTTCCCCGCATAATTGGCTAAAAATAAGTGTTATTGAAATGATAAATATACCTTTAATTTTCCCCTGTTAATTGCTCAAAAAATTGTCGTTAAGAAATTATCTGGCACTGCCGCACATACATATTTCGTAGCATTTTTGATAAACAGTAGTTGACATCTCTGCTAAGAAATTGAAAACATATTTTTATTGGTGGCGAAAATCTGTAAGAAAGTCGCATACAACATAAAATTCGTTACATTGGTTCATTAGAGGGATTGATTAAATTAGAGGGATTTCTGTAATTGAACGAACTGTTCAATTAAACGAGTATCGGTTAATTGATTCTACGGTTAATTGAACTACAAATTGTGCAATTTTAGAAGTGAAATTAAGCGGGGAATACTGTACTACAACATACCAAATGTAGGCATTTCACTGCCAACGCCATGTCGCACGAATAAAAATCGCTATAACCGAAACCGTAGCTTTCGTTACTCGCATGCCATGGCGTATGAGTGACGTCTGGTGTCAGTCGAAATAGAAATTACAAATCTGTCACTTGTTTTTCTATTAATTTATTGTTAAGCATCCAAGAGAAATAATTCACATCTTACTAAAATATTTTAAGATTTCATGTATTTTACAGTACAATTTTTTTTTAACCGCTATCCTTATTTAATTTTTAAGGTGAAAAATTAGTGAAAAAAACTGAAAATATAGCAGATTTGCTGTATTTGACCATTAGTTTAGCGCTTATATCTTATTATATGTAAGAAAAAATCAAATTGTAAAGCACGCTCATTCCTGTAGGGAGGCTACTTAACCTTTATATATCCTGGAGTAGTGAAGCTAGAGGAATAAAACTTGGGTTGCTGATAGTGCATATATAAATTCATATATGTAATATATTTTTGTTAAAGGATTTTATTAAAATCGTCAAGGATAAAAACTTTAAAGGACATTTTTGGGGTCTTTGACCACACCTGTGAAAAAAAGTCCTGAGATTGCGAGTACTGTCCCCTTTCATATGATACTATATTTCCATACCTTGGATAGTTTTAGATTTAAACGATTTTTAAACCACTATTTAATCCTTATTAAAACTTTAAGGTCCTATACAAATATCCATATTTGAATATCGGCGCTCTAGTTTCGCGCGTTGATATCAGTTTCCTCATGTGTGGCAAAAATATTTCGATTTTGTAGCGCGATGTTATACATAAGGGTGAGCCTTAAAATATTAAAATCTATATTTTGTATCGGGCATTCCATATTTCGATCTACTTACAAAATAAAAACACCCACGAAAATTTCAAAATTTAAAACGAAAGTTTAGGGTTCGCTACTCGGGGTTGAAAAAAATTAATAAAAAAAAAAACACAAAACTTCGACAAAATTTCGTCTTGAAATCTGATAAATTTGACATTTTATTGAAATTTATTCATATACACTAGGCGACAAATGAAAGTGCAGACCTTGTTCTAATATAATATTCACAATTATTTTTATAAAAATTGTTTGTATTAAGTGTTTATAAAAATTTAGTGTATTCTTCACACTTTATATGCAGTTCACAAAAATTCAAAAAAATTACAACTTTTTATTCAGAATTTCTAGAAAATTTCGAGTGTGCAGTTTTGAAGTGCATTCAGTTTTTAACCGACTACAAAAAAGAGGAAGGTTATCAATTCGTCGGAATATTTTTTTTTTTTAATGGATGTTACCGCATAACTTTGAACCACGTCAACCGATTTTGATAATTCTTTTTTTCTGTATGTGAATTCATAAACTCGCTGAGTTATATCTGGTAAAAATTAAAATTTAGTAAAATGTTTGCGATTTAAAAAAAAATATACTTTTTAAACCCTGGTAGCGACTCCTAATTTTTCTGAATTTTGAAATTTTCATAAATATCTGTATTTTGTAAGTAGAACAAAATAAAAGGACAGCACCATTATGTTGATATTTTTAAGGACCACCCTAGTATAAAAACTTGCGCGATTGCGAAACATTTTTCATCATTACTTCGTCAAAGATATGTAGCTCCTGCCTTATTATTGAATTTTTTTATGCCCACAACCTTCACTTTGTGTTCGCCGGAAGTGCACTCAATATGAAACAAATCACAATTTCTTTCATTTCCTTTTCATTTCATACGTGACCACCTACAAACCTGTCAACAACAACAAAAAATCAACTTCGATATTTTCTTAACTATCGCATCGCACGCTGCCGCCCGCCATTAGATGTGGCCAGGAGACACGTGTCATACCGCGTATACTGCAATTACGCTCCCACTGGATGAAATCGGAGAAAGAATCGATGCGACTGTTGGAGGCGGGCATCACCAAGGAGGTGATGAACAGTGCCATAGCGCAATTCTGCCTAGAAATCATCGCCAAACATGGTGAACCAGCACCACGACTATGCAACAAGGATCCGTTGACGCTGAAGATGGGCTCCTACGTGATAGAACTTTTTCCAAATGTAATTATCAAATGCTGTCACCATCTGACATATCGTGCACTTGACACGTCACTTAACTGTAAACTCTCTTTTTTACACTCTCTCTGTCCGCCTACCTTGACTATGGTCTTGCAACTATGTATGTAACGAATGCAACTTTGTCTTTTTAGGCGAAATTCTTGTTTATGGTACGAGATGGGCGCGCCACTGTGCATTCAATCATCTCGCGGCACGTAACGATAACCGGCTTCGATCTGACCAGCTATCGGCAATGTATGCGGAAGTGGAACACCGCCATCGAAGTGATGCACAACCAGTGCAAGGAGATTGGCAAGGAGCGCTGCATGATGGTGAGTACGAGTATGAAACACGAAACGAAAGACACAAAAAAAAATCACGTTGATGATGTAGTAGGAGTATTTACTAGTTCGCGTACGTTGGGGGTAAATGGCGTAGGATGTGGAGTGTGAGAAGTCGTCATTGATTGATTGGAACTTGTAGCATATTGACAAATATGTAGTAGGTAGTAGAAGCAGAAAAAAGAACTACAACATTAAGCTGTCAGTGAAAAGTGAAAAGAAAAAATGTAAAAGTTTCGCGTTATTTGTGCATTGTTGCCGGAATTTTCGCTGGTTTTGGCGATTGAACTTTTCACATTTTACATTTCACATTTCACCATTTGCATTTTAATTTTCAATTCGCATTTTCCATTTGATTGATGACTTAATGGTTATGTCTGTTGTGAATGCTAAATCGAAATAAATGAACTACAAGCATTTGCCATTTAGCAGCGTACTCAGAAAAAGAACAAACATTAAAAGAACTGCGTATTTAACATTTCATATACTCGTTTAATTGAATTTAAATTTAAGTTTTAATTGTATTTTCATGCAAATTTTTGTATCGTTAATCCAAATCCATGTATCGTTAATCCATTTATTCCGTTTGTTTTTGCCATTTGACAGGTTTATTATGAACAGTTGGTTCTGCATCCAGAAGAATGGATGCGAAAAATATTAAAATTCCTCGATGTACCATGGAATGATGCGGTGTTGCACCACGAAGAATTCATCAACAAGCCAAATGGTGTGCCGCTGTCAAAGTAAGTTTGCGAAAAATTTCTTTTTACTTAGGTAGGGGTTAATCCATGCCCAATCGACCAATGGTTGAGATTAATTTGGATGAATATTGGTCAGACGTTGTTTTATCATATAATGAAACTCTGCCAAATTAAAACAATTAATTTTTTTTCGGAAAGTGAAGCAAAATTCTAAATTTTACAATTTCCGGTATTTTGTAAGATTATTTTTTGAATACCTAAAAAACTAATATAGTCAAGTGTAGGGCTGCATAGAAAAAATATATAAAAAATTGAAAAAAAAAATTTACAGAATTTGGAAAATAAAATTTTTTTAAATCGAAAACTTATAAAAATTTGAGGTTTAATGTTTTTTTTATATCTTCTTAAAGGATCTGAAGGTCTTTCTTTTTAAGTAATGGATTTTGAATTTTGAAAACATGTCAAACAATTTTAATTAAAATTTATTTTCAATGTTCGAAAATTCATATTCTGCCTTATCCTGAGTTTCGTCCGAAGGAAAATTCACCCGAAAATTTTTATTCCGCCCATAGTAAATACATGGAAATAAAAAGTGAAAAGTGAACCGTTTCGGGGAAAATGAAACTCATGATAAGGCTGATTAAAAAAAAATAAATCATATTCTTGAAAATTTTAGTATCTTCTAATACCAGTTAGAGGTATTGTATAAAAAAAATTTAGCCAAAAATGTTACTCTTCCACGGTGCAAAATTTGTTCGATCTTACACTCAACCCTGTAAAAGGAACGTTTGTCAAAAAAAAAAAACATCTCCTCATCTCAAATGCTATTATTAATTTTTTGTATCACGTGTAAAAATTTTCCCACTTTCATTTTAAGGGAACACATTTTTTTTAGATATTCCTTTAGTGAGAAGATAGGTTTAGAAAGTAGGAAAAAAACATACATACATTTGAGTTTAACAGTTCTAATTTGCTCGCACAACTGGAAAGTCGTGGTAATTATACAGTGAAATCTCGATATAATGAAGTTGAACGGGTTGGAAAAATGCTTCGTTATATCTATAGTTTCCTTACAACAAAATTAAATGCCAAATTTTGGAAAAAATTCGTTATATATAGGTATAGTTTAGTTTTTTTATAACGATACTCTAACCGTTTTCTTCAGAAGACTCGTAAAAAATTTTCTTATATTGAGTTTTCCATTTTATTAAGGTTCGTTATGCCGAGGTTTCACTGTATGATAATGTCGTAAAAACAAGAAGCAATCCCCAGACTCCAAATACCGTAAAGCTCTGTATTAATCCCAGAGACCGTACGGAGTATATATTTTAAGACAAAAAGGAAAAATGTGTTTGCTATTCTTTTGAGCAAGAAAAACCTACGATTTTTTGCATTCAGCACTTATAAAAAGCAAAATTAAGATTTAAATGTCTGGAATCTGAAAGCTCCTGCAAAATACTTGATTGTTTTGAAAATGTCGCAAAAATTTCCGAAAAAATCCCAAAAAAGAAATCTTAAGAGGTCTTGAAAAATACATAAAACAAAATACGCAGGAAACCTAAAACGGTCGTAAAAATCAACTGGAACTGCCAAAAATGCGATTTTTCGGGAATTTCTTTTTAACATCTATTCCTTAAAATTGTAAGGCAAATATAAACGATTATTTTTTTGGTCACAAAATGTCAGGCAAACTTTGTTTTAATTTTTGCTCTCAAAAATAAAGTAATCGGTATTTCGTGCTAAAAGTATTAAAAGTCAAAGAATTGTTTGAAGTTGTGACGAAAACTAATCTAGTGTTATTATCAAAAAAGTCGCTTCACTATTCAAAAGCTAAAAATAACTGTTGTTTACAGTTCCTTATTAAACCATTTTTTTTTTAATCTCTTTCAGAGTCGAGCGTTCCTCGGATCAGGTCATCAAGCCAGTAAATTTGGAAGCGCTATCCAAATGGGTGGGCAACATACCCGATAATGTGGTGCGTGATATGGCCGATATTGCGCCAATGTTGTCCATTCTCGGCTATGATCCCTATGCGAATCCACCGGATTATGGTAAGCCAGATGCTTGGGTACAGGATAATACATTTAAGGTATGTATGTACTGCAGACTTTTCGCCAGTTAATGCCTCGTTAATTTGTGTGTTTTAGTTTTGTTTTCCTTTACATGTTTGTGGACACTGTTCGAAAATGTTCATCCGTTTTTTTTTTTACGCAGCATTCATTGATTCACTCAGTTTCCCCCATCATAAAAAAATATTTTATTATTTTTTTAATGAGTAATTCACTTATCAAATAGCAGGCGTTCGTAGCGTCTTTTTGACGTTAAATGCGATTCGTTCTTTCATATTGCTCACAAACTCGGTAATTTATTTAGTTATTCACTCTCACTTTATTCGTGCATACTTACAAACATACAAACATATTTATTTGGCTTACTTCCAGTCCATTAAATACGAATTTCCGTTTCTATGAATAAAATTTCAGCGCATACATCCCCACGTACATACATACATATGTATGTAATTTGTACATTTGTTATAAGATATCTACTAAAACGGATAGACAGTTGTTTAAGCAAAGTGCATGTGAATTTGCATGTGTGCGTTGACCGATTTACAATTTAAATCTTTGATTATGGATTTTATAATGGCATTGCTCAAATATCCTCCCATACAGAGTATTACATTAAAACATTCACAAAGTCACACTCACACATATGTACATATGCATAGTCCGTACTTTCATTGTCGGAATTCATCTAACATTTGGGTTATGACGTGCTTTTTCACATTCCTCAGATTCTATAAAGCAATTTATATGACAGCGTAATGAATTCGTAGTATGAAAGAAATGCACATAGCCATCGCCAGCTTATAAAAAAAAACCGAGAGTAAATTTTGTGTTCTTAAAAGTTTTTTGAGTAAGTACAATCAATCGATTGGCTGTAACGTGAGGATCTATAGCTTCAAAGCTCGCCTTTTCTTTATTCTCACAAATGAAAATATCTGTTAGAAAAAGAAGATTTTATTGCGATAGAAAAACTCGAAAGACAAAGAGGAACTGATTGTTGACAAAACCGTGCGGTATTGCCTTTTTTTTAAACAAGTGTAATTTACGTTAATTTGCAGAAGGTCTTGCGGAATTTATTTCATAAGAAAAAAACAGATTATTCAAAATTAACACGATTTTTTAACCGCTTGTAAAGTTCCAAATTTTGATGAAAATTTTCTAAATTTCGCATTGTTTTGTGTAAAGCACTAACAATATTTTTTTATCAAAAATAACGAAAAAATTTTATTTTGAAAAACATAATGTAGGTAAATTCATATACAGTCAATCAATAAAGTTTAGGTACAGTGATTTTTTTTTGCACTACGGGCAACTGTTTTTAATTTAATTTATTTTTTTCGGAAATTTTTATAAAAATGTGGTTAATTCTACAACCAAGACACCAAAAATCCGAGCTCCAAACCTTGTGTGAAATTAAAGAAAATTCTGCAAACTTTCATTAAAATATTGCACCTTTTAATTACACTCTTTAGAAAAAAACCGAGTATGCAGTTTTTTAGCCCATTCAATTTTGGTATAATAATGTGCAGTCTGAGGTATCTAGGACTTACCAATGATTTTTGGGAAATTTTATTTTGTTGAAGGTGTCGTGCATTTTCTCCATATTTTTTGTATATTTTTTTTATATGGAGAACAAAACAAATTAAAATAAAAACTTCTAATTAAAGACACATTTTTTGTATATACTGAGATGAAACGCTTAAAGTAAAATTGGTAGATTATATTAGTTATTGAGATCGATGCCATCACAGGTCTCGCATTAAACAACGAAATGTTCCCTACAAAAAAAATTGTAAATACATTGTACATACATGTAAATACACGACTCAATAGAACAGCGACGCAAGATTTAGGAAACAAGGGGCGCGCGGGAAGGATGCAATCGAGTAATTAAGGGTTAATAGAATAGAAGCAAGAGAAACTGTAACCCTCTTAAAAAATTTGTGCTGAGATGCAGCAAAATCCTTGAGTCGTTTAACTAGCACGTATAAACAAATACTAACTTTGGGAAATTGTTTGGTTAGGGCCCAAATATGGCGGTTCCCCTAACGAAGAAAAAACGATGACCGGCCTTGTTTTAAGATAGCAGCGATTCTACAGCCCTGCTAGTCTTCTTGCGCAAGAAAGAAATGCACTTTTCAATCGTTCCACTTTTATTTCTCATGCTCGAATTTCGCATGCCCGCTGTACTACTGTATTTTATTTTGTCTTATTTTATTTTTATTTTATTTTATTTTGTTTTATTTTATTTTATTTTATTTTGTTTTACTTTACTTTTTTAGTATTTTGTTTTATTTTATTTTATTTTGTTTAATTTAATTTAATTTTACTTTACTGTATTTAAGCTCATTTTCTTGTATTTGATTTTGTTTTATTTAATTTAATTTAGTTTAACTTAATTTTATTGTCTTTATTTTTTATATTTTATTGTAGATATATTGTTTGATTTGTTTTTATATTAAATGCATATCGTTTTATTTAATTTAGTATTTAACTTTCGAGAGAATTTAAATAAGGGCTTGTCTCAAATTTTTTATTGTTCCAATTTATGGTAGGGATTAAATTTGAAATGGTAACTGTATCACCTGGCGCTGAGGGTAAAGCCATCAACCGCAAGATTAAGAAACCTGCACAAATGTGTGCAGCTATGTTCGCTTTCTGTTGGCTTTGTATATAACAAAAATAAATACTGCACGTGCATACATACATGCATAAACTAACACACATACACAAATGTATGCTCATACATATCGGATATACTATACAGTGACTAAAACAAACTTTTTCGTGATTCTTTTATTTAAATATTCGCAATGTCTCCCAAGTTTATATTCTTTTGGTATATATATATTTTTTAAATATTTTGCATGCTATAACCATATCAAAAGGTTTAAGCTTTATATAAAATTTAGAAAAAATTAACAGAAATTCATCGAAATTTTAAACTTTTTAATCAGAATTTCTAGGAATTTTTTTGAGGATGCAGTTTTATAGCCCAGAAAATTTTAGGTTAATAAGGTGCAAGTTTTGAGCGACTGAAATTTCGTGTTGATTTTAAACTTTTATTTTGCTTGAATTTTCCTTAATTTCGTATAAACTTTAAAACTTTTATTTATATGGTTTTGGTTATAGCATTAAAAGTATTTTTATAAAAAAATAACAAAAAATTCTAGCTCAAAGAACATTGAAAATAATAAAAAAAAACACCAATTGAATGTTATTTGAGCCACTGTATATGTATGTGCACCTAATCTGTTTACGTATGCCCTCAACTATGTCCTTATATATGCATACATACATTTGTATGTTAAAATATCTATGTATATATCTAACACATTTATTGGGAGGTGTTGGCACTCTAAGCTCTCTATGCCTACGCGTCTCTCTTCGCTATCTAACTAATCAGCCACTAATACTTTAAACAAATTTTCTACATTTTCTTGTTTGGTTTTCGGTTGTTTCCTTTCGCTAAGCCTTTGTTTGCTTTCAATTTGCAATCGTTTGTTGATATTTACATTGACTTAGATTTTCATATATGTATAAATTTTTCTATTCTTTGTGCTGCGTGATAATAAAAAAACATTACAACAAAAACTCGTCGATTATCAAAAAAATAAATATATAGGTAAAGGCCAACCAGCAACAATGGGAAAATAAGGCGAGAAATGAGCTGCACCTGGTCCAACATCAAGTACCTAAAGGCTTTAAATCGCAGGAGGGGGACGACAACAATAACCAGAACAACGGCAACAACAACAATGACAAGGACAATAACAATTTGCGACGACGTAACGGCAACCAAAAGGAAAACAGCAACAAAAAAGATAAACGAAGCCAGGACTATGGCAACATGGACTATGAGGATGATAACACTGACAACAATAACAACAACAATAACAATCCATCACCACAAGGCCGCGACGAAACGCAGTATGACAATCTAGTTTGGGTTAAGCCGCTAGCTGGCGGTGGCGGCGGCGGAGGCGGCAGTATCAATGGAGAGCGATTAGGAAAAGGCGCACCAAATAGCCCCAGCAGTTATACGGATACGAATACAGACACGCGCGACCAGCGCACATGATATCAGAGAGTTGGCGACATCGCGCAGTCGCAACAACAAGAACAGCGGCCCCAACAACAGCGACAGCAACAACAACAACAACAACAACAGCACCAGCACCAGCAACAACGAATGGCGCTGCCGCGTCGTTCGAGTTATCGGCGACGTTTGCGTCGAAATCACTGAATCCGCAGGCACAAATCCACATTGACTCGTATACTTACTTACATATAAAAATAGCATACCAATAACCACACACACACACACACACTGACGCACAGTCGTACACCCGCATTACGCTGAATTGCGTTAGTTGAACTAAAATGAACTGAAGTGAACTGAGGTGTTGATCCGCGGTCCACATAGCCGCATATACACTGACAATGACAATGACTATGCTGACAATCCCATTGAGTGCAAAAACGCTCACGGAAGTGAGTGTATGGATGTGTGCGCGCAAGTGTGCAAAGGAAACGGAAGTCTACGACAGCAGTTAACAATAAATGAGAAATAAACGTAACTTTCAATTGAATGGTTTGTTGGAATAACAGCATAACAAAAGCAATGGATTGGCAGTGAAAGGCAGAAAAAATAGACTATGCAAAAGTATTGCGAAAAAAAAGATGATGCAAAGTGCTAAAAGTAGGAAAATAGAAATAAAATGAAATTAGAATAAAATGTCACTGCTCTTGTGCGCTTGTGTATGTGTATGCGAATTGAACTGCGAAGTGTGGTTAAGCATAAAGTAGCGAAAAATTTCAAACTACGACTGTTGTGAATGGGATTAGCTGTGGTGGCCGCCTCCCCTAGAATTTTAATTGACGAACTGCGTTAAAGGCGCAACTAAGTAAATAACAAGTTAAACTAAACGACAAACCGACCGACCGACAAGCAACCTACCAATAAAATAAGTATAGGTGTAGTACTGTTTTTTTTTTGAATAAGTAAGTGCGCAGGAGCAAGACCTTTTGTTTGGGGGGAAACTGGGAATTTTTGAATAAAAGTTTTGTAATGGCCGCATGAATAAAACAATTAAAATAAAGAATGAAATTACAACTAAATTCACTTAAGTAGAAGTTAAATAAAATAAAAATAATAAAAAGGTGACAAAAACAAAAGTAAAATGAAACAAAAGGGAAAATAAAATTAGAAATTGAAACTGATATAAATAATTAAAAAAAGTAAAATAAAATAAATAATTAAAAAAGTTAAATAAAATAAGAAAGAAAACCTGAAATTAGACAAAAAAATAAAATGAGAAAGTAAAACCAAAAAATAAAAAAAAAATCAAATAAAAAAGTAAAATAAAATAAAAAGTAAAATAAAATAAAAAGTAAAATAAAATGAAAAAGTGAAATGAATTTAGAAAGTTAAAGTAATATAAAAAAGGATTGAAAAAATAAATACTCAAATAAAAAATTAATATGTAAAATTAAAATAAGATGAAATAAAAAATAAAAAGTAAAAGCAAATTAAAATAAAATGAATAAAATTTAGCTAAAAAAATAAAACAAAATAAAATAAAATGAAAATTTAAGTATATAAAAATTTAAGTGATTATAAAAAAAATAAAGGCTAAACAAAATTTTAGTAAAAAATTAACCAACATAAAATAAAGCAACAAAAACATTAAAGAAAAATTAAACAACATTTTATTAAATTAATAAGTGGAAAAAATGAATAATAAATCAAATAAACTTAAGCAAAATAAAAACAAAACGAATTAAAAAATTTAACTCTAGGTGTTGAATAAAATTTAACCAAATAAAATATTAGAATAAATCAACTAAACCATTTTACAAAGAAAAATGAAATAAATTAAAAATCTTTCAGTGACATAAAATAAAGTGTTGACAAAATTAAGAAATTTAAAATAAAATAAAGTAAACTAAAACTAGTAGCCCATTTCCACTAAAAGCTTAACCGCAATTAGGAAGACAGGTAAGTTCCAAGAATTTTAACATTAGGTGATCGGCGAGGTTTAATTCTCACGCTTTGCTTTTTATCTTCGATTGTACTTAATATAAGCAATTACCTTCTCCAAATTTAAAACTCCAGTAGGTACTCTTACCAGGCTCTCTTATGAAACTTAGTCGTTTCTTGAGGAGAAAGAAATTACACTGAAGACCTTCTAACCAAAATTGACAAGGCATGACGATAAATCGTCCGTCAAAAAACTTTTAGAAACACCATCAACACAATAAAATAAAAAAATAAAAGTGATATAAAATAATACATACATTTGTATGTATAAAAAATAAAAAAATAAATTTAATGTAAAAAAAAGAATAGTTTAAAATAAAAGTAAAATCAGTTTTAAAGATAAGTAAAATAAAATAATTACAAAAATTAATTTAAAAAGGGTTAAAATAAAATAAAGTAAAATAAAATCATAAAGTGAAAAAGAATTAAGCAAAGTCAGATAAAAAAGTAAACTAAAACTAACACAATAAAATAAAATTTAAAAAATTAAAACAAAATTAAAAATTTAAATAAAAAAGAAAAAGTTTAACAAAAAATTGAATGGTCAATGTTTTTGCAAAACCGCCCATCGACCAGTTGCAAAACCGCCTAAATCATCGTCGTGCCAAAAATGAGATTTGGTAACCCTGAACTCCGGGCATCGAGATTTATTACAACAACGGATTTGTAAAATAATAGCTAGAGAAAATACGGCCTATCGAGGCGATGCCTTCAAAGAAAACCCGTTTTTTCGTCCTGTAAAGTTTAGTGCCGTAAGGTAGGCGGTTTTGCAATTGGTCTATGGGCGATTTTACAAAAACACCGACGAACTGAAAAAAACAATAAATCAAAGATATAAATTAAATAAATAAAAAAAATAAAAAATGAAATATAAATCAAAATAGAAAATTAAATATAAATAAAAATAAAAAACTAAATAAAAGTAAAAAGTTAAATTATAATAAAAATAAAAAATTAAATAAAAATAAAAAATTAAATAAAAATAAAATTAAATAAAAATAAAAAATGAAATAAAAATAAAATGTTAAATAAAAATGAAAATCAAATAGAATTAAAAAGTACAATAAAATGGAATAAAATAAACTAAAATTAAACAAAATATATAATAAAATAAAAAATAATGAAAAATAAAGACTAATTTAAATAGAAAAAAAGAAAAAAAAATTTTTAAAAAAATATTTAAATGAAATGAATATTACTGAACAAGTTTGGAATAGTGATTGAAAAACTGATATAATAAAAAATCAAGGCGACTCCTTCCATACTAAACAAACAGAAAGAAGAAAAATTATTTTGCTGTATTAAGTTGGGTTAGGCATTTTTCGAAGCGCATTAAAAACGGCCATAACTATTAAAAAAATAAACATAAAATCCATAGTTTCTGCCATTTTTGTGCTAAAGTACATACCTGCACATGCAAAAACAGGCATACATGATTAAAATGAAAATAATTGGAATTTATTTTATCACTTCCGCCAAACAAAAGCGTTTTTCTGCGTTAAGGCTGTCAAGTTTTTTTTTATTACAATAGTATAGGCGTACATCTGTAAGTTTGTATATGAAAAATAGGACTATACATTTTTAAAATGGGACTTTAATTCAAATTAAATACTATAAATTTTTATTACTTACTGTTTTTATTAAAATAACAGAAAAGAGCTAATTTGTTTTTTTTTTCTTTCAAATAAAATTTATAAATATTAATTAAAATTTTCCAGCAAATATTTTATTGTAAATATATGCGACTATACATATTTTCAGGTTATACTTACATACTTTTCTAAGCAAGTAACGATTTAAGTTTTAATTTTACTTAAATAAATCTTAGTTTTCATTGCATTCTTAAATATTAAATATGTATATGATTTACCTCTTTAAGTTATTTATAATTTTAGTACAACTAAGAATTTGAAGAGCTTTTAATACTAAAATATTTAGCTTATATAGTAGATATTAAATGGACTTATACAAAAATAATTATAAAACTTAACACTGATGCATATATCTATGTATGTTTGTATGTATATAAGTATTTATATCTACTTTTAGGACTAATTCTAAGGAATTATATACATATATAAAATGTAGTTAAAAGCATAGATATTATATGTAAAATTGTATATGTGAATTATTATTAAAAAAAAAGAAGAAGAAAAATACAGGAAAATGTGCTTTTGAGCAGTTTTTTCGTCCGCAAATTAATTTATTTTTAATATTATTATTTTGCAAATGTGTGTATGTCTGTATAATTTTTCCAACCAATCAAAATATGTATGTATAAGTATGTAGTAAGTATGTTAACAACAATGGATATTCGGTTTAAGTAGAAGAAATAAATTTCAATTGACAACCCTTAACCGCATTAGCCTACTATCCCGTTAATCCAAAAAAAAGAAAACTCAAATAAAAAAAATAATTCATCAAATGAAAAAAAATCAAAATAAATGTGAAATAGCGGCGTTGTGACTGTCCTGCGGACAAACCGCAAATATTTGTGTATATCCACACATATATACATACAGCATAAATCCATATGTATGCAAATAAATCTACATATAAATGTGCAATTTCTGTAAAAAAGAAAAAAACAAAACAACAAAGCGCAATTGCCCATTTTATACACCTTTATAAATATGTACTTGTATTGTATAATTTTAATTTGCATATTTCTGCAAGTCGGAATGTGAGCGTACAATGTCAGGCAAATTTATTTGCACTTTCCGTATTTTTATACATAATTAAGTAAAATTACAAATAAACAATTTAAAATACAAAAAAAAAAAACAAAAACATTTTATATGTATGCCCTCTTATGATAGCGTGTCGTGCGTGGTACGACCAAACCCCACCTACACCTACATACATATTCCTCCTACCAAGCATTATTTTAGTGTTTCCATACATACATATGTATGTTCTTATGTTTATGTGAATTGAACTGTACATTTACAATTAAGTTGTTTTTTCACTATAAAATCGCTGACAATAAAAAAAACAAAATTCAAATAAAATTTCTTTGTGCTTTTTCTAAGGTAATTAGCAACAAAAAGAGAAAGAATAGAAAATTTTGTGATTTAAATTTTCTATTGCAACAATAGGTAAAGTAAAAAAAATTTACCTTTTCAGGAGATAAAGTTGCTATCTAATAACTGCATGTCAACTGATCCTGGAACATTTTGGTAAGTTGCGAATGTTATGTTTTGTAGTTTAGCATAAATTCATTTTTAAATGTTGTCATGATTTAAAATAATTGTCGGCAACTTACACGGTTAAACGAAATTCGGACGAGTTTTATCTCAAAAACGGCAACGGCCTCATTTTATGGATTTTTTATGCTGATTTTAAGTCCATTTACAAAAAAAAAATAGCACGTCAAAAATGGAAATTTTCACAAAAAAAAAAAATCAATTCATTTGGAGGAGTTTTTCCGCAGAGATGAGTTGAGTATAAATGATTGAGAAAAATACCGTAAAAGTATAAAACAACACACACAACTCTTAAATATTAGGTATTGGTTTTCAATTTGAAAAATATCCTCATTCGATTATTAATTTCATTGTTTTTCGATCTGACATTAGGCAAGCAAAAAAATTCAGATTCCCAGGTTTTCTGTTGACATCATTTATTCAGTAAACATTT